CAACTAACTTTAATGCTCATCACAATACCTCCAAACACAATGCATTGTGTGTGTCCCGAGTTATGCGGGTAGCGCTGGGTTCCATAAAGGAAGTCCAGACTGTACTTCCATCATCACACAGCCTCAGGTGTGATGCCGGTGGTATGCGCATTTTCCCGGCTGTTCCATGGGGCAAACGCCAATGGGACAAAAAGAAATTGAACAACCACCACACGGGCAGTAGCAGGAGAATAATTTTCGTTTATGGAATACCCGAGCTACTGATAGCTAGCGACTGAGAACCGCACACTCAAGACATGGAAGAATGGCGGCACACCCGTGAAGCTATAATTAATAGTGACGTCATACTTCAATCAATTTCCAGGCTATCCTGTGTCACCTCACTATAAGGCAGTAGCCCGAGAAGACTAAAGTATGATTTGGTCCCAACAGATGGTGGTGAGCGTAGTGCGTAAATGGCACGAACTGTGCGACTCACTACTTTCGGAACTACCCTTAAAGAAACCAGTTGGAGAAGCACATCCAACAGACGTCATGGAGGGAAAAACACCACCCGTGATTCAATGTAATCACCACAGCAAATCAGAAAACAATGTGGTCAGATCAGTAGCTATTGAGAACGCAGATGAACGCAGTCCTCCTGGTACAGACGATATCCACCCAAATGCATTGAAGGTGACTACCATGAGTTTGACCGAAAGATCTTTGTTTTTTCAACAATGCCTTGAAAAATTGCGGCTTCCATGATGTGGTGTTATGAAATCGACATTACCAGTCCAAAACAAGGAAATCGTGTAAATTCGTATTGACTACTCTTTGTGCTTGAGTGGAAAAAAACAGTGCAGTTTTGAAATGATGACAGCTAGCTGAACTTTTCAAAAGTACTTGACAAGTTAAAGGATCACATTCTGTTGTACAAGCTCCAGTTGATCCGATATGTTTCCATCTTTCCCCGTAATTCAGCCATGATCAGTACCTATCAAAAACGCATCTGCGCGCATATACAAAAGACCAGCTTTCGTAACGGGTGCCCGAGTATGCACTAGGAAATTTATGTTGTCTAGGAAATGCTCGATTGCCTGCGTTTGGGGTGTGAAGCCATAGATATTACTCTACTCTTTGCGACAAGCGTTACGGACGCTGGTCTTTTCTATATACCCTTAAGTACGTTGTTGTAGGTTAATGCTCATGGCTGAATCGCGGGGAAAGACGGAAACATATCGGATCGCCGTAGAGTTATGGAATCGTTCAGCTTGTCCTAATTTGGATGCATAGCTTTATGCCTCAAACTCTTCGGAATGTGAGCGTTGGTAGCAGCATATCCGACCCACCTGAGTCCAGTCTAATGTTGGCTTACAAAAATATTTCACGAAGTGACTATCTGTGCCAGAGCTGGTAACCAGTGCTCCATTTCCAATCACATCATGTTGCCCGCTCGTTTCAGAATTGGTAACTGGCCATTTGTGTTGGAGCTTGTGTTCACCAATGAGGAATATATGTGTTTATATATTGGTTGCAGACTGGTCTTTGAGTCACGGTGCTCATGCAGTCACCAGTTTCAACTTTATCTTCTAGGCAGTATATCCTCATCAGAACCCTGTGATGGTGGGCAACATTACACAGGACGACCGTTTAATCCAACTTGTCAGTGTCATAAGCTGCTCGCTGTTCGCCCAAAATCTTCTGGAAGTCGCCTGGCTCGAATTCATCAGCAACTCCAATCAAGTGGTTAAGAATTCTTCAAAACCAAGGGTTTGCAATGAAAGTACATCAGTTTCTTTTGTAAGAAGTAGAGCTCAGAAATAGACATGTTAGTACGCAACCTAGCATGGCAAGAGTACAGATTCTTTCCAACGCGAAATACTTAAAACAACTACGTAGCCCGAAGTAAACACTGCACTTAACTGTTCACAGAAGACGATGTCGCGTATTAGCAGAACATGGAGAAAAGTTGCGACGCTGACCACAAACTGCTGTACAGGCGTGTCAATGGTCATCGTATGGTAAGGCGGGGGATCTTTCCACTCAGGACGGCTGATGGTCAAACGAGAACGGCTGTAGGAACAGCAACTGCGCTATGGATGCAATATGTCCTCATATATCAGAGGATATTAACATCGAGCGACCCCCTGGCTTTTGTTTCCCCGCCGTCCGAACGCAATTACATCTCTTTTACCGCGGTAGCTCTCTTGCAAAAGCCGGCAACTCTGTGCAGCCACAGATCTCCGGGTGTCCATGCCATTCACCTAGAGGCACCGGGAACAGCAGTAAGACAACAGGCAGAACCTTGGACTGTATTTTAAGCGCTGCTTAAACCAGAACCAAGTTGCTGCTATGCATAAGTTTACAATAATAGCCGAGTCACAAAAGCGAAAGCAGAACTGAGCCTCCAAAATACTGCCTAGTATCTTTTCTATCTGAAATGGTCATGATTAGAGAATCCATCGTTGCCGATGCGTTAGTGTGTTATCTGGAAGGTTGCAACGTTGTTGCTCTAGAGAAACAAGAATGTACTAGTAGAACGGAGTAGTTGGACAGAGTTATCTACAGTTGGAGGGGGCGTGAAAGTGATCTACTTGGATTTGTCCATGACATCCAGTCGTCTAGATCATCGGATATTCCTTTCTAACGACCCTTACTACTGCTTCGGTGACGCTCTCTTGAGCTGGATCGCCAACTTTCTCCTTCAACGACAATAAGTGATCAGAGCCCGGAGCTCTTTATCTGACTCCATACAAGTTGAGTATGGTGTCTCAGAGCTCAATTCCAAGGCCACGACTGCTTTGGTGTTTATTAATCACCTTCACAAACAATCACATTAATTTTCTTACTGTTTACTGACGACATCAAGATGTAGTGCAGGATTCAGGCGGATGCCAATCGGAATTTCCTTCAGTTTGGCCTAGATAGATACATCAGTGCTTAACCCAAAATCTGACACAATTCAACCTGCGCAAACGCAACGTACTCTCCATACGACACCAAAGTACCTACACTTAGAGGCTAGGAACGCAACCACTGCAGCGATCTTCCGTTGAAAACGACATGTGCGTGCTGGTTCAGGATAACTCAGGTCGCTCCCCGCAATCCAGAAGAGGCACCGTAAACTGGTAACCTACTCGTCAGCTTGTTACCACTGGCCTCCGGGCAAACGAACGGATCTATTTTCCGACAGACGTTCAGTGCGCGTGTTCGCTTCTATGTCGAATACGCAATTCAAGCCTAGCAACCATAGGTGAAGCATGACCTTACTTCACTGGATCAGCGTCAACGTCTGGCTTCCAGATACGTCACTGGAATGCACCGTCTACCATATGTACAAAGACTGAAACGTTTGGGAGTATTCAGCGAACGGTATTGCGGATTACTTAGTAATGGCATTCTTGACTGTATAGAATCCAAATCATGTGTGTAGCTCTCTATTGGTTCTTAGCAGTAACACAAACTTGTGAGGTCACTCAATGAAACTAGCTGAACAGTACGGTCGCCTGGAGTGCGGTATAAATATTTTTGTATTCGCCTCTGTCCCCTGTAAAAGGCTCTCCCTGAATCGATCGTTTCTGCATTTATGCATTTAAATTTAAAAGTCGGTTAGATGACGTACTCAGCTACTTACCTTTTGTTACTTAGCACTTTCTCTCTGTCCTACTCCCGGTAAATACCTTGGATTTATTGCCTATTTATTAGAGCTGTGCAACTGCGGAGTGAAGGACTACAGCATTAAAAATGATAAGTCCATACTTTTGACAGTAAATGTACGGATTGCATTTTTTTACTAGCTTTTTTTAGTAACCCACGGGTGCCTGTCAAGCAGTGCTTCTTAACCTGTACAAAATCATTGTTCATTGTTCAAAATCTTTCACTAATGAGCTCAAGATATGGAGGGTTAGCAAGGAGACGGGCCATCACGTGGGGTTGACAGAGGACATAGATAGGCCTTATGGGTGGAGAAGTAGAGCCTGCTTTATTTAAAAGTAGCCATGAGTAGGGTATTGAAGGTACGCTTACCGGACTATTTTGGATAATCAACTTGTGCGGCCCCCTTCCATTGAATGCGGCAGAGGAGTTATAGTACAGGACGTTTGTTTGGGTTCACTTCAGACCCCGAAAGCAACCAAAAACACCTCAGCCTATTAAGGAGGACAATCGGGCGATTTGGGCCTTCTGCCTTATAAAAGGCTCTTTCTAAAATAATCCGATAGCCCTGACAAGGGACTGACCTTTCCCGGGTTCGAGACTCTACCACAACCAGCGACTAGGAATGTAAAAAAGTTTGTTCCGTCTCACTTATTAGTTTGGATTTAAAAGCAGTAGACAGTGTCGTCTCTGCGAGGTGATCTGCTAGCGACTTGCCAGATCCTGGAGAACCCAAGCTACCTTTGCCGCCATCCCCTAAAATTGAATAATCATAGTACACTAACTGGTAGTCAACTAAAGTTGCCTTCACAATCTAGCTTGTTGGGATAGTTCAGTAGTCTCTTCGTTCTCGTATGTGCCAAGCTCGGGACACATCTCTTTAGCGGCGTTGTTTATTCCCCAAATTATTACTATTCAAGAAAATTCATGTTGAAGAACTAGTACATTCACGTTACTCAAAGCGGCCCATGTTGCTTCGGCGTTAATCTAACTAATGAAACCGATGCACACCGTCGACTTCTCGTTGCGTACACTAATACTGGCTTTAGTTCAGTGACGACGTTTTGTTTTTCTCTGAATTATTCATGCGTCCGTCTACGTTGACTAGTCAAACATCAAATGCTTTTATCCATGTTACACCGCCGTTTCTGATAAACCTCACTCATTGAGTTATTGCAATTAAAGCAACTGCTGAGAAACCAAGTCAGCAGTATCGTTATATACCTCTCATCAATTTTTAACAAAGAACCGATATTTCATTCTAAAAGGGGAATCGTGTTAGTTGCAGATAAAGCAATAGTTGTTCATCCACAGAAAAGAGTAGAAATATTTGGGATATTTGACAAGTGCTACGGTTGTATCAGCTAACACAGGAGAATTGGGGTACTAAGGAACAAAAAGGAAGGGAATTCACAGCAAAGAAGCAGTAATGTACTATGGTCCGGATAACAATATTCGATCTACAAGGGCTGACATGTGAACCCCTTACACATGCCGGAGCAGCAATGTGTGTTTCTGCCGCACCGAAATCCGTCCTCGATGCACTTCATGCAAACTCCGTTTGCGAAACCCTTTAGTTGGCATTTGAGATTGCCACAGCAGCGATTGAACACGCTACCATCGCACCACCGACCGTACTCTCCGCACCTATATGCGCCGTCGGCACCTGTGAACAAGTTGGCAAAAAGAGCAGTGGTGGTGTAAAGTTAACCTGGAACACTTAGACAAACACTGGTTATGAAGCACAGTCGTAAAGGTGTGGTGGCATCTATAAGTAACCTTAAAACTTCAGTTAAAAGGTGGGCCATCGGCTAATCGACTCGAATATCTAATTCAATATAACAAATCTGATGGGACGATATGTAGTAATACAGGTTGACCATTTCTTGTTATACAAAACCCTTCGCAACGTCACTCTTCTCGTTAGATTGCCCGAGGTAGATTGGACAACTAGCGTGGTTGATGTATTGATTACTACAAAGTTTATAACTTTGCATGTGGGGAAAGCGAAGTGTCCATTGAACGGTGATGCTCTGCGCCTGTTAACATCTGAACTGGTCGATGCAGAACGCGGCGTTGTTTGATGAAAGGGACTGTCGAGTTGTTTACCTTCGCCCCCGATACATACCTATACAAGTTTGGTTCATATCCTGCGGACCACCTCTTAATAAGACGGCCTTAGTGTGAACGTGCAGGATGACCTTGGCTGATGCACGCAGGGTATATGCATTTCGGTCACTAGCAGGAGCGCTTTGGAAGTTGATTTCATCCATCGTCTCATTGATGTTCAAAGCCTGCTTGCACTTACACGCGAAATACGTCATTCAGTCTTAGTAAACCTTGATAACGCGTTACATCGCAGCACTAGAGATGCCACAGAGTCTAACTTTGTACCATGTATGGCAATAAAAGCACTTAATCTCGGATCAGTAAGTGGACACTACTAGAAGCTAAGTGAAGACTTCATAATTTTGAAGCAAATAAAGAGGGATCACAATCACGCGTGTCATTCTCTTCAGAAGCTCATCCCAGACATTAACATGAGAGCTAAGTCACTTGCAATCGGGTGCGCAGTAGAGTCAATTAGAATGTCCGCAAAATCATTCCATACAGTCTTCTAAGCCTGGAATGCTCTTCTATACACAGTTGCTTGTGCCCCCATCTTGACCAACTTCGGAAGCTTTTGAGCATCACACATATAGCGACTTCCAATTTGGTACATGAAAGCCGTACTCTGAAATGTATCCTGTGGTTTAGCATATTTGGAATTTATCACATTTAGACTCATTGAGACATTCATCACATACACCCTGAAAAGCATTGCACCACTGTTTCGTACTTTCGTGAATTGTGAACGGTGCGTATACCAAATGGACCCTGTGAGATTAGAACCCGCAACCCGACTGTTACGTCTGTGGTTAAGACCACTGAATTATGATGGCTGGTAACGACCGACATGCGTAAGTTACATACTGTTATCTAGTGCCGCTCACTATCCACTGAATTGCACGTTAATATCGTGAAGATAATAGGATAGCCCACTCGCCAATCACTGCACATACCATAATTGTGCCACTGGCATGGCATTTTAAAGTCGACGCCAGTAATTTAAAGGTTTATCAGACATCAAATTCGTCAAGGAATTATTTGTATGTGCACAAAGTGTGACGTAGTAAAAATCAACTGGCATGCACCGAAATGGATACAAAGAAGCGTGGGTAGCCCAGTGACAACAATTGGAAGCCATATGCTTTTGCGACAATGGCAAAAACCTTGAGTACTTAATCAAATATGCTGTAGGAGCCACTGCACGTTTTAATACCCCAGCCTGTGGGATTGGAAAGTTATAAAGCCTGTAACTGCAATATCACAAAGTATCAGTTACATCCGCTCTACCAAAAAATCGACGTGGGTTTCGCCATTTCTTATCAGACGTGTTCATAATCATACAAAGTTTAATATGACGACATATATAGTAGCTTACCTGCTGCTAGATATGTGATAATCAGAATAAACAAAGTTTCTTGTAAACCATACATGTTGTTCGCAAGTTTCTCATAGGCTTCTGACAATGGTTGCTGTTTATATGTAGTATGCAGGTCACCCTGAGGACGTAGTTATAATGAAACAGGAAGTTGCCAATTACTTTTAAACCGAGACAGCATTCAAGCGGCGTCCAAGTCTATTGCATGTACAACAAGATCGAAATTCGACAAAACGGAAGCTGTCATGTGGAAAGGGCCATTACCTATTTTGCCCAGAATATACTCACCTATCGCCCTGAAAGTTGCTGGTTACGTTAAATGTCAACTGATATGGTCGGAAATAGCCGAAATACCGGAAGTCTCCCCATATGTCGTTGAACATAATCACAAAGAGATTGTTCCACATAAGAATAATTATGTAGACTATGAAGCTGGAGGTTAGAGTGGTTGAAGCTTATATTCTCAACTCGCTTTTCAATGTACGCCCGCCATTGACTTATAATATGCTATTAAATCGCCAACTATAGTGTTTTTGACCAAAAAATTTTCACATTTTCCCATGTCAGTTAGATAAATAACTAACAGAGTTTATGGTCGAGTTTAGTTGAAAAGGGCGCGAGCAAATATGCAAATGTTTGGTCAAAAGCAGTATATCTTGCAACTCAATTTCTTGATATACACCAATAAAGTTCGATAAACCGAAATATCTACTATAAAAATGTATGACCACGGAGCACTCTGAAGTAGTTGGTTTGATGTCAGTCGTGAAGGCATTAAATGTAGGTCAGCATTGTGCTGTTAAACAGTGCAATTCAGCGGAGACGGGTTGCGCCTTTCCACGGCTAATTAGGAAGCCAAACAAACTTTCACTATATATGAGGTAGTTCAGTGAGACTATCAGCACCCAGTATAGCGTCGAGGAAGAGCACACGGCGTTAGCTTGCTAAATGATACAGCAATTGTGCGTCGCCTTTGAAGTTCGGCGAACTCGGATTGCAATTGGTTGTTGCCCGATGCATACCAAAAGATAAAACAGCACTCCATCTGCGTCAGGCAGCAACAATAACCACGTTTAACCAATACAATAGTTCCCTTCAACAATTTGAAAAGCATGAAAAGAAGACTAAGGTTGGTAAAAGAAGTAAACGTGCATGACTTTCTAGTAGTTCTGCAATTCTAGTTTGAGCCGTCTCTAGGTGAGCGGACGCCACAAGTCTGAGGTTAGCCACAAAGGGCTTGAGTTTGTTTCTACGCAACAGTCAGACAATTGGACGAGGATAGCGACGCACGAAAATGCCTTACCAGCCTTCGTCTTCTTTCCATATTTTTTCTATGCAATAGTGCCTGTTCCACCAACCTCTTCAAACTGCTTATAAACCAGCTGGCCTGTGAGGCACGGAACTCAAAGGATATCTTGTAGCATTTTACCAGTTTGTCGGCCAAACGGAACACGCTGGACTCTTCAAATACCTTCATCATCTTCAGGCTGCTCTGGATTGGAATCTCAAGGGTTCGACCGCCTGGACCACCGCATTCTCCTTCACAAACTTCCAAGCTCTCGAATCGGTAACCCTGTGCTCGTTTGGATAAGAAACTTCCCCATGCAACGTGAGCTGGATCTGAGAATTCACATATCCATCCGTTATGCAAAGGAAGTCCAGTGTGGTGTGCCCCAAGGATCGGTACTGGGTGCGCGCTCCAGTCGGATTTCCTACTATTCACAGACGACGTCAAGCTTCTGCATGGCATCAAAAGCAAGTGATCACGCAGCACTGCAGAGAATTCTCGACCGGGCCCACACGGGGTCAACGGCAAAATAGCTCCAGTTCAAATTGACGAAAAGCGAAGTTACATGCATCCGCCATCAACATCCCTATGAATATCGACTTGGGTGACAGCAGTTACAACGTGCTTCAGTGGAAATCCACCTCAGGGTAATCGTGCAGGATGACGTTGGCTGCTCGAAACAAGCTGAGTAAGCATTGAAAAAGCCACTCAACACCTTGGACTCTTAGGAAAGACTTTAGGGAAGTTCGAGCCATCTATCTTACTGCAAATGCTAAATGCCTAGATGAGGCACCACGTGGAGTACGCGATCCAAACCTGACGTCCGTGGCGCAAACACGATAGTGAAACGCCGAAAGCTCCAATATCTAGAGTGGCCAAATTGGTTAGGGGTTTCTTTCACGTCCCCTGTTACCACAGAACGCAAGCCTTGAGATTTCAGAGCGATGAATCTCGGTCTCAGAAAGGAGACCTAGTTCGGGTTTACCTAATACTGACAAACCCTGATCACGCATGTCAGGCTCTGCTGCAGCTCAGCCACAGTACGAAACTGCGAGACGACAACCTCAAACTATCTGCACAATATATTCGACATGACTGCGACAAACCTTCTTCTCATTATGGAATCCAGAACTTAGAACGCCCTTCCAAATCATGTAATGTTTGCTGCTACGTTAAAGTTATTCAAAAAACGCTTTAACGACAGACTAACCCAACTGCATTACGTGAAATGGTCTGCTTTACCCAGAGCAAGAAATAACTAAAACCAACCAACGTGCGTACAAGCCCGTTCCGTAACCTAAATGTGAATAAACCTTTATCTGTATACATGTGAATAGCTTTGCGAGTCATTTTGGGGCAGTGCCCCTTGCTGAGGCTAATGTTGCATTCATGATGCTTCTTCACCACAGTTGGGCTAAACCAACTTACACTTAAAATAGGTCTTTTTATGTGGATAAAATTCGTTACATGTTATTTGGTTCGTTCTGCATATTTGATAATCTACTCCTTACTTGCACACGTCGCTCACGCAAATTGTGGTAAACTTGCGTACTTTTATCGCCTGGTATTTTTTAAATAACTCGGACATTTTGTACTTATCATGGATTCACTTATAACCAATTTCTTCTATATGCTCATTTAGCGAGTATTTATGTCGTCACATGCGTTTACTTTATTCGACATCGGCGTTTCGAATGATGGGCTGTTGTTTGACATCCCAGGTGTGGCTACGCTTGATGTGCATGTAGACAAGATGCCTACCTGTCTATTACCCGCTAACTCGTCCATACTGGCTCTAGGAGACAGTTGGTCGTTGCTGGAGGGGACGGGGTGCACGGTTCTTAGGTCTGTACTAGGCTCGAAGAGTGGTTCCATGCACTCAGTGTGGAGCGGACTACGGTCCAGCCACCGCCTTGTATGCGATTGATTCCCAACTACAGCGTGCTTGTGTTTGCCTGTGAAGGAGTGTGGGCCGGCTCCGTTGATGAAACGTGGCTCCCATCCACATACCTGCCTGTCTTATTCCTTCGGGTTTACACTGGATATGGGGTGCGTGGTTGGAGCTGTGTGTGGTGCAGCGCAAGCCATCCGTGGTCCCTCTGTAGGCGCAGGCGTCCTGTGGCTTGCCACAGTGATAGGCAAATCCGAAACTGGAGATGTGTTTTGTTAGCCCAACAGCTGTGCTTGAGAAGCAGAGAGCGGTACTCAGCTGCAGTGACAAATAAGCCGGAAATGACGGGATACCGCCGGAAGTGTTGAAACACGGCGGACCCTTTGATGTTTGCGTTGTACCACTTGGTACAACTCGTGTGACTTGAAGAGGAAGTGTCAGTCGCGCTGAAGGATGCACCTTGAACAAATGCGGCAGGGAAGCTTGCACCATTTATTGTGGTATCAACCTGCTGAGTTGTGTAGGGAAAGTGATCGCACGCATCCTGTTCAACTGCCTCGTCACTCTGGTTTTTCGACCGAACGTGGTGGAAGCAATGTGGATTCTCTTCGGGATGCAGCATCATAAATACACTACTCGCGGCTCTTCTGTTTCAAGAGTTATACTGAGAGCGACACCAGCCATGGTATTCGCTGTTTGCTGACTTCACGAAGGCATTTGAGGTGGTTAAACGCGAGGCATTGCGACTGGTGTTGGGCAAGTTTGGTTATCCGAGGAAGTTTGTATGTTTAATGGAATGTCTGCGCACTGATTTGCGGGCGACGGCGTAGTTCTTTTTTCAAAACTCGGATGACGTTGCTCTTGTCTCTGGTGTGCAGCAAGTCTGTGCCTTCAGCACTGCTCTGTTTAATATTTACATCCACTCAATGATATCTTGTAATTTTGATGATGCTTGTGATTAAGGAGTCTCTGTGTGGGTTGCTGTATATCCATCGTTGGGGCAGGAACCTCAGTGTGTGAGACAACCATCCGTATATTCCCGTTTGCTGACCAATGCGTTGTTTGCACACAGCGCGCATGAGTTGCAGCGCATGACTTGAGCTTGCGCTGCTACAAAGACCCACTTCAGGCGCACCATCAATACAAGCGAGACTGTCTTTTTCATCCTTCTCCTAAGTGGAATCCCTGGGTCTGCCGCAGGTCTACATTGGCAACCACGTTTTGGCATCCAATTCGATATTGTGCTACTTTGCAGGCTAACGTCCACTGACCTGGAAATGACAAGCGAGCTACTCAACCACGTATCGGAGGCGGCTGCCAAATTTGTCAAACTACTAAAACATGTGTGGAACAACCATCAGCTTGCTATTGCGACGAAGCTAATGAGATACAAGTTATTGGTTCTGTCCATTCTTCTATACGACAGCGAAAGGTGGAGGATTTACCAGGAAGATAATAGGTATTTGAGGCGATTACATCAACAGTGTCTTCGATGGATTCTGTATATCGGTTGGTACAACCGCGTTGCAACACGGAAGTACTGCGTTGCAGTGGAATGTATGCAGTGAACTGCATACTTTTGTTGCGGCACCTGCGGTGACGCAGCCGAATGAACTCGACGAGGGTGCCGAAACAGCTTTTGCACGGCCAACTGCGTGCAGGGAAGTGACACGTGGGAAAAGGGAACTTACATTACCAGGGCATGAGAAAGGTGTTTATCACGAACTAATGTTAATTTCTGTTGTCGCGAGCGATGGCAGTTGATCGGCACCGACTGCGAGAGCATATCAAGTGGACGGTTGCCGAGGAGCAAGGGAAATCACTGTTGCAAGTGGAAGAGAAGCTTCTGTTGAGGAAGCGACACGCGGCGATGGTGGACT